ACACACACACACACACACACACACACACACGTCATCGCCATCATCATACAGACAGCGTTATAAGGACACTGAAAAAAGACACTCCCACCGCCTTTTTCCCCACTTTCAAAAGCCCGCAACCCCAGCTCCCCTCCCCATGCCTTATACGATATAATAAGCGTAACTTTCTACCCATTCTCTCCTGTCACCCACCCGCACCCGCAATCATACGTACTCCGAGCTCCGTGCACTCCAGGCTTATTTGACCGCTGTAGCATTATGCTCTCTGCTGCGTAGTCCAAGGTGCCATTCCTCACTCACTTCTCCCTTAGCCAGACACGACCGCATGGGAGTGTCAGCCATTGAAGAGCAGGGGCACAAACCGCGAACAAGAAGCTGTACACTGAATCTAGTCACTTCCTAATGACTAAACCGCATTGAATGCAGTACGAAAGAGGAGAGAAGCTGCTCAAGCAGAAACAGAAAAACCTCAAGAAATGACATTCCACTCCCGGTTAACAACGGAGCAAACTTCCATATGGACAGACACACACTGTGGCTATGTGCCAACAACAAACAAAGTGCTTAAAAGTTAAAAAAGAAAAAAAAGAATCTGAATCATTTTCCTCAAATACACCTGCAATCACCTGTTCTTTTTTCACCAACAGCCAGCCACTGTGGCGACACAACACGTCAATCGGAGAAAGAGCCGTTTCCATGAGATTCCCTAAATTTCGGGATGCCCACAGACCTGAACACATGGTCATTGCAAAGGCGGTCGTCGCGAAGGCGGCCCAGGAACTGCCCAACGGGCAATAGCAACCGAGAAACCAAGGACAAGAAGAGTATAGAAAACACAGAATGACAGAAGAAGTCTGAGACAGGGCGAAGATTGTGCGACGCAGGCAGCAGACTCAAGCAAGCAAGCAACAAGAAGAAGAAGGAGAAGAAGAAGAAGAAGAAGAAGAAGAAGAAGAAGAAGAAGAAGAAGAAGAAAAGAGGACAGAGTGGAAGTTAGGGACAGATAAGGCTGCGAAAGGGACAGAGAGGTGCAGAGTGAAGACAGACAGCAGGAAAGCTGCAGTGAAGAGTCGACGGAGCGGGGAACCAGGCAGCAGACATCAAGCAAACAAGCATGCAAGAAAAAAAGGAGACGGTGTAAGTGCGCAATGGATGTGCGTGCGTAATCAACAGAGAGCCTCAGAGTGAAGACAGACAGCAGGAAAGCTGATGAGATGGTTCAGATAGAGGGACAGAAATGAGGGCGGAGAAGGGGAGGGAAGGAGAGGGGAGGAGCGGGAGGGGGGAAGAATGGAGAGCGAGCCGCCAGTCGAGTCTACCGCATTAACATAGTGCTTTTTTACTCATCTATGTGCTCCCCTAGTGCTACATACTAGGACTAGGACCATGCAATAGTAAAAGACCTATATACTATTTTCTTCACTCAGAGCTAAATGAATGCTAGGAGGATTGGCCTCACCCCAAAGGGGAAGTGAGCAGGAACTCACCAATATATGGCAACAAACTATCAAGAATCACCTCCTCTAGTGAGAGTGCTGCTCTACCAAATTTAACTTCTTTCAGCACACTGAAACGGACCACGAAAACAGAAAGAAAAAGGCGGAAAACTTTGCAACGTGAACCCAATCGTCGGTGGATTCAACCGAAACGAACGAACCTAACCACAAGTCATCGGCATTCCCTTAAGAGGTACATCGAGGGACTGAACGGATCTGGCTGCGGCTGGAGTAAATTGCTGCTGTCATCAGCAGCTGAAGAGTGCTTCAATGGAGTGATGGCAATGTCATAAACATCCGGCGAAAATAGCCCTCCAAAAGGCTGCAGGAGACACACACACAGATCACAGCACAACACAAAAGCACACTCAATCCCCCACCCCATGGAAACTACAAAAAGATTTCTCACATGCAGATCAACAGAGAGAGCTTCAATGGAGTGAGTGCAATGTCATAAACATCCGGCGAAAACAGCCCTCCAAAAGGAAAATGACATTGTAAGAGCCACACACAGAGATCACAGCACAACACAATGTCATTTTCCATTTTCCGCCGTGGAAAATTGGAGACTAAGAAAAGATTGCTCTTATGCAAGTCAGTCATCACCGATGAAGGAATCTGAGGTAATATGGACCTTTCACATCTCAAGTGATATGGGCCTTTCACATCTGTTGCAAGCAACTGTTGCTTGCCACTGGCAAGAAGAGTTCCTTGCCGGATAATTGGTGGAAAGCGCCCACGCCAAAACCTTTTTCGTTTTGGGCGTTTGGTACTACATGCCTAAACCTTTCCATGTGGGGTACTACCAGCCCACGCGTCGCTCCACGGGCCCTACCGGATCATGAACCTGGAACATAAACAGCACCAGATTCATTGCAAATTAAAAGAGGCCGACTGTGGTACCCCTAATGGATAGAACAAGGTCCAAGTACGGTATATTGAAAAAGAGTGGCCCTACCTGTTCACGAATCTGGCGCAGAAACAGTGCCAGATCCATTGTCCTGTAAAAACAGGCCACAACAGATATGTGGCCTCAGCGGCTATTGCCCCCCATGCCCACCCATTGCCCGATCCCCCTTCGCCTTGCATGTTGTCGATTCCCCCCACGACCCCCTCACCCCCAGCACCTTCCCCCCCCACAATCCCTCTTCATCCCCAATTGGCCCCCTTCCCCATTGGCCCCATTCCACTTCCTTCCCCACTTCCCAATTTCCCACTCTCCCATTCCCCCCATCCCTCCTTCAACTAAACGCCTCCCCATGCTCCCATTCCCCCAGTTTCCCCGATTCCTCCATCTGCAAGTCCCCCAATCCTCCAATTCCCCCTTAATTCCCCCAAATCCCCAATCCCCAATCCCCCAATTCCTCGTTCCCCAATCCCCAATTCCCCAATTCCACGCTCCCCTCCGCCAATTTGTTTGCCCCCGTTGCACCCCTTCCCCCAATGTGGTCCCTTCCCTGCTTTCCCAATTCACTGCCTGAAACATTCCCCAATTTTTCCCCAATTCCCCAGTTCCCCCATTCCCTCCATTTCCCAAAATTCCCCATTCCCCCTATTCTCCCGATTCCCAAACATTCCCCCCAATTCTCCCCTTCCCCCAGTTGCCCCCAATTCTCCCCTTCCCCCAGTTCCCCCCAATTCTCCCCTTCCCCCGGTTACCAACCATGCCTGTTCATCTTGTAGCTGGAAAAATCCCTGTCGAAATAAGAAAGTGATTTCCTTCACCCTTGTCTAAATCCTTGTGCATCAGAAAGCCCATCTGGGACAGAGTAACCTTCGCTCTTTGCTCGGGGGCTGCCTCCTCCCTCTTCTTGCGACTTGACTGCTCATTCTATTTGTTCATCGAACGCGACAGGTTGCCATCAAATATAAAAGTTCAGCTTTCGGCGAGTGAGGTAGGTTAGCAATCAATCATAAAGACAAAGTCAATATGAAGACAGAAGAGCGACCTCAACCGTTGATCTCATGAGATGAATGACGAACAGTGCACTTAGGTGCCAGAACTACCTTCTTCCCCCGAATACAACGTACGGTCATTATAGCCGTATTGGGGGCATCTTTCAGTCTAGATACAGATATAATGACCGTACGTTGTATTCGGGGGAAGAAGGTAGGGGATGTAGGGAGGGACAGGGATGGAAAAGGGGCCTGGTTGTTTCCTCCTCTCTGTGCCTTCTTTCCTTTCGATTGAGCGATGTGGACGTACCTCCATCATGCTCACAGGCATGGCGGAAGGCCATCGCTCTTCTTCTCCGTCATTTTCTAACTTCTTCATTACAGAGTGCTTCTTCAAGTCTGGCATGACTTATGCCCAGGCCCGTCATTCGAGCACTGTACGCCCTTGCTCCTCTGGCTCTTCCTCTTCCTCTTCCGTTTCCTTTACTCTTTTTTTTTTTCAATCGAACAAAGGGGCTGAATCTCAACAGATTGTGATGACAAGGCCACTCTTCTGCTCACGACAAAAAAATTGGACCCTTTCACCATTTATGTGTCATCCTTGTGCATCAATATTATTATTATTTTAGATTATATATTATATATTTTTTTTATTTGATATACCACGAATCTATATCTTATATATCTCTTTTATCTTTATGGGCCATGCTAATCAATCTTCTCTGAATCGTTCCAATTTTAAAGGATGTCCCTAAGGACCTTCCTCTTCTTTATTTTCTTTCTTGTGTCCACTTCCTTCTGTATAGCTTGCACGGCGGATTTTGGAAATCGTTTCTGCACTACGAGAAACTCAGGCTCTTCTCTAAGCCTACTACCGTCTTCACCCGAATAGAACGCCGGGTCATTGTACATGTACTTGGGCCAACTTTCAGACCAGATGCAGCGATAATGACCGGCCGTTTGATTCGGGTGAAGACGGTAGATTCCCCACGTGAAACTTCAAACCACGGAAAATTTGCATCAACAGTTAAACGGCAAGGGAGGTCCAGCCCATTCGCAGCAGAGTAGTCGAGTCGGTGTTCGGCACCCGCTGATCGATCGGTCAGCTACTGACCAGCCGACCGATCCACCCGTTAGCGCCTATAGGTTAGCATCTTGTTGGTCACCCACAAATATTATGCACGACCTCCTTCTGTATCCAGGATCCATATTTTTTAATATGCGATGGTTAATTCTGAAAGAATTTTACGCTGTCTGTGTCCCGAGTCCCAGTCCCCGAGTCCCAAAGTCCCACCTGGGTCCAGTCCCAGTTGGTCCCGGTAGGTTCTAGAATAGGCCCTAGGAGTCCGGTAGGTCCTAGGTCTCGAAGTGTTGTACGGTCCGGTAGTTAGTTTTATGAATAATTTCACTAGACATAGTAAACAAAAAAAAAAGATTACTTTTAAGTCATTGTCTAAACAATGCAATTKACGGACTTACAATTTTAAAAAGAAAGAAAACAATATTTTCGTTTCTCAAAAATTCTATTTTCTGTAAAGAAACGAGAAGAAATTTCCAATTTATATTAGAAGTAAAAAAGTCCTAGGCCAGTACCCGACAAGAGATGTCTGAGGTCCCAAACTCCACTTTTCATCAGCAGCCTGTGGAAGTCTGGTAGCTTGCAGAACTGGCAAAGCTACCAGACTTCCACAGGCCGCATCGACCAGTACTGGTCCGGAGCCGACATTGATTCACTTCAGCAGCAAGCTCAGCTGCTATTTATAGTTGCTAGACTCCAAGCAGCGGATCACTTGTCAATTCACATGTTGCGGAAGCTCTGCTGTAGAGCTTGGGCGACTTCGAGTTGGATAGTTGGGTGTGGAGCTAGGAGAGGGAAGGAGAAGCGCCATAGCTAGGGTGTCAGCGTAAGACGAAGGCGGCCATAGCCGCAGGGTGGACGTTGAGGGCGAAGTGGCCCTGTAGCAGGTGTGTTCAGGCAGGTAGGAGAGCAGTCCGAGGCATAGAGAGAAGATCACGACAGTAGTGTAGAGAGAGACTGAGCGAGAGGAAGGCTGAGCGCCCGAAGTATTGGGGAGAGAGAGAGAGAGAGAGAGAGAGAGAGAGAGAGAGAGAGAGAGAGAGAGAGAGAGAGAAAGAGAGAGAGAAAGAGAGGATTGCTACTGGTTCAGAATCTCGGAGCCAGCAGCCGTTAACAGCTTGTGAACAATTTCAATTCTGTACAGTAATAAAGATATTGGCGGTGGTGTTCTTCTTCACTCATGCTGATTCAATTGTGGTGTCCGGTTGAGAGCGCTTGGCGAAGTTTCAGTGTGCTGTCTGATGAGTTTCGGGTGCTTGCAGTTCATTGTGCGTTGCATTTCTGATTTTGCTACTCAGATGTCTGTCTTGCCGCTCTTATCACTCTTGTCTTGTTGATCCTGTCGAGTATATTGTGCAGAATGCTTCTGTTCATCTGTGTCAGTCTGTCAGACTCTTCTTTTTTCCTCTGCACAAGACTTCAATCTGTTTGCTAGTGGGCTAAGAAAGCTTCTTATATTGTTCTGAAGTTCTCTACGATAACTCCTATGCGGACCTCTTTACATACATGTTTGCAGTGAGGTGAGACAAGTAACCTGAAGCAAGCTAAAAACCCCTCCCCAAACGCCTCGATATAGGTCCCAACTCCGTGACCCCAACCCCCCCCCGCAACCAACAAACCTTCCCGTTCCCTGCCCCAAACCCCAAGCCCCAAACCCCCTCACCCCAGCCTGCAACCCTCCCCCATAGAACCCCGACAACAGAGATGAAATGTTTTATACCGGATTTGGGCTGTCCTCGTCAAGCGTAGGAGAGCTAGCTAGCCCCCCCCTCCCGTCTTCCGCCGAATAGAATGTATGGTCATTATAGCTGTGTATATTGGGGAACTCTTTCAGTTCACAACTTCCCATGCATTGATAATGCCTGCTGTTTGTTCTATTTGGCGGAAGACGGTTCAGTTGGCAGTCCGCGTCGGCAGTTTGCCAGTAGGCAACCCTGATGCACAGAGGTTAACTTCCCGCCGCCGTTAAACAATAATAACAACATGCAGAGTAGAGAACTGACTCGTAGAACACCCCTCTTAACGGGCTGGCAAAGCACGAGGTTTACTAAGCTGGGCAAAGACAAGAAATTAGGGTGACTGCACTGACTGGTGAGAAATGCGGCACGTGACTCGTAGAACACCCGTCTTAAAGACGAGAAATTAGGGTGACTGCACTGACTGGTGAGAAATGCGGCACGTGCCAGGTAAAGAAACCAGTTGTACTTACTGAGAGCCATCCGGCATAAGAACTGGAGCAGTCATTCAATGACACACTACTGAATCCAGACGATGAGCGACCCCTCTGATTCTCCTTAAAAGAACCTGGACTTCCATCCTCGACAACACTTCGATCCGACGGATCTCCCCGTGCTGTACGAGCCAACACATCTTCCGCCTGCTTAGACACAGAGCAGCATACAACCCACACACACTCGTGAGGGAAAGCAACTGGAGCGAGCACCATCACGCCACCAGGGCGGCTCACTTGCAAGAGCACATCCCCACAAAGACATATTTCTTGGTCTCAGAATTGCAATGACATGAAAGTCGACGAAACAGTTAGTCCGCACAGCGCTGCACTCCCATCAAGTCATTCATTCCGACTCCCCACTCCCCACTCCCTCACAACCAGTCACCTTCAATCCATCAGGTAAAGCCAAACCATCACAAGAAATCCCTTTGAAAATCTACAGCAGAGAGAGAACAAAAAGAGTAAACGATGGTCGTCACGAGCGCCACAATCCATAGCAGGTCAAACTGTTTCTTCATCTCTGAACAATGTCAACACGTCACGAATCGAACAGGAAAAGGTGGTTGTCTCCTTGCCCATCTTTAGGCACTGTGACCACTCAAAAAACTCCCACAAAAATAAAGCAGGGGAGTGGCTGTTCTCACAAAAATGCCACAACTCATTGCAGGTTAAACCATACTTGCAACCGCATGAGCCGCACATTCGTGTGGAGTTCC